CATTAACCTATTCCTTGGGTCCATTTTGAAAAGAACTAATTTAAAACAAGAAAAAGCCTCTACAGTATCTCATTTACAGTGGGAGTAAGACAGGAAGTCCAAGACACGCCTCTGCTGTGATTCTGAGGTTAAGAGGTTAAGAATAAAAACGGAGGGGCTGGGGATTTAGCTCAGTGGCATAAGCACCAGCCTGGCAAACAAGAGGTCATGAGTTTGATCCCTAGTGTAAAAAAAAATAAAAATAAACATGGAGCTGGAATTTGGGAGTGAGGGTATGCACACCTGTAATCCCAGCACTCAGGAGACTGAGGCAGGAGGATCACTGAAAATTGAGGCCAGCATGGGCTACAAAATATGTTCAAGGCCAGCCTGAACTGCACCATGGAATCCGGTCCTAAAGTACAAAAAAAAAAAAAAAAAAAAAAAAAAGAAAAGTGGAGCCAAGGTACAGCGGTGCATGCATACCTGTAGTTTCACCTACTTGGGGTGCTCAGACAGTAATATCACTTGGGGTTAAAGGTCAGCTGCATAACATAACAAAATATCATTTTCAAAATAAATACACATGCAAATAAAATGATTGCAATCATGGAGAGGTGGGAGAGAGAGAGAGCGAGCGAGATCTTAGACTCTTCTTGCAAGAAAAGCAAAAGCTCACTTAGAGACATGAATCTTAAACATTTTTTAATGAAATATTTAGGAAAATTTTATATGGTACTGAAATAACCACCCTCTCCATTAAACCAAATGTCTAAAACTTAAATTGTATCTCTCACAAACTATAGCATACTTATTGCCTAGAAACTGCTGGTATCTGCTGTTGGATTTACTTCACTTTTGATGGGCATTTTATTTACTGATTCACATGTTCACCCAGATGATTCATTGGCTTGTGAAGAATTGTGGAGCAGACACTTTTTGTCTTAATTATAGACAGTGACCTGTCTTAATTGTATAAACTGCAGTTTCAATTGGAGAGATTTACATTTGTTCCTTCCCAACTTTAGCTGGCGTTCCACTGTCAAGACGAATTGTTAGTGGCTTCTTGATTTAGGATGAGATTACGTCTGGATAAACCTCAACTTCTTTACAAAGTTCAAAAATCTGTAAGCTTAAATGCATGTAATATACATAGCCTATGAAACATAGTTTTTCACAGCACAGAGAGAGTCTCAGTTGTTCACTCTCATGGTCATACAGCTGACTGGGGACTATGGCTCACTTCTGGTAACTACTAGCATCTAGAGAGAGGCATCAGAGAGCAGCATGTATATTGCTAGCCCACATATAATTCATATTGGGTATTGTAGCTCATGGTGTGTAGTAAGTGTGTATCATTTTCATATTATTGTAAAGTGGTACCATGACTGGTTGGGGATCATCTGGAGCCTGCATTTGTATAGTGTAAAGCAGGAAAGGCAGCTTGTAGCAGGACAAAAACTGACTTGACTGACCTGAGAAAATAACATCTCATGAACGGAACATTTTGTGACATGTAGTATACACTTTGACTCTCAATTCTTTGAATACTTAAGAACTTATCTGAAACAATTAAAACAACAGTTATCATTTATCTTTATTGTGGCATAGTTTTGAAAATATCTTTCTCCTATTTATGAAAATAAAGTCATGGAAAAAACAAGTAATTTAGTCAATTATTCATGTTGTGTCTGCATTATTTTATAACACATATGATGTAGCAGACAATGCACTAGTGGCTCCCCAGGTAGACAGTTCCTGCCCTCAGGTAGTTTGCAATCTAATGTGGCACAGATATACTTTAGCATATGTGGTACAAGGCAAGATAACAGAGAGAGGTGATAGGTCAAAAGTTATGGCAATTTGGAGCTGGGGATTTAGCTCAGTGGCATAAGCACCTGCCTTGCAAGTGTGCGGTCATGAGTTCAATCCCTGGTACCAATAAAAACGAAAAAGACAAAAAAATTTTCTTAAAAAAGTTATGGCAATCAAACAGATGAAGGGTAAATTACTAGAGGAAGGCTTGGAGAGTACTATTTGAATGGGTTTCCACAGGCAGAGGACAGCAGTGGTGGGGCAGGTAAACAAACCTGGGGAAAGTGATATCTATTTATCTATCTGTAGCAAAGACATGTTAGGGCTTTCATAAGTGGCCCAGAGTAGCGGAACAACTGCTCCTGTAAGTGAGAGGAGGAAAGAGAGACCGAAGAAGAGACAGAGAAGAATAAAGTTGGGAAACCTAGTTGGGATAGATAGTAAAAAGTCATGAATGCCATGCTAAAGGTCACAGATTTTATTTTGCACAATCTGGGTGATGCCTATAAAGGATTTTTAAGAAGAGACAAGGAAACTCCTGCACATTTCAAAGATGGCTGCTAAGAACATGCAGGGTCAAAGGAGAGAGGAAATAACTGTCTAAGTGTGCAGTTATGAAATCTTCACTAAAGACTAAAAAGGGAAATAGGTCCTGTCATGGTTTATGTCTGTGGCCCCCAGGCCTCATGAGTATGCACTGTGCATTTGTGATTGGTTCATTGTCTAGTTCTTGGATTTATGGTGTCCGTGTTACAACCACATAGGGGTGGAGCCAGGATGTAATGTAATAACAGGAAGGTGTGTCTTGCTCTTTTGCTGGTTTCTGGCTTGCTGTTTGCAGTCGCCATCGACTGCGGCCCTGCCATACCAGTCTGCCTTGGAGCCAACTGAGTATGGACTGAAACCTCCAAAAACTGTAAGAAAATAAACCTTTGCTTTTCCAACTTTGGGCTTCAGGTATTTTGTCTCAGCAACGAGTAAAAAGTAACTATGACAGATCCCAAGGAAGATCTAGCATTCCTATGTGAACTGAGGGTGGGACTTTAGACAATAGGTGGAATTATTTTCATGTGGGGACTTCAGAATGCAAACTGGATCTGGTATCAAATTCTGTCCCACCACTCGGCAAGTTAATGTGCCTGCCGATGCCTCTTCCTCCTCATCTGTCAAAGGCGTCCTTGTATTGTGCAATTCCAGTAAGTTAGTGCATACAAAGGATTTAGAAGAATGCATGGCAAGCAATAGAGTATAAGCACACATCTGTAACAAACTCAGCACTTAAAAATAATATAAGATTATAGAAGAATAATTCTACAACAATCCTAATTATATTACAATTAAACCTTTTAATCTCCTTTTAAATTACTGTCAGTACTCTTATAGTTTCACTGGAAATGTTAAGTGTTCACTAATGCATAAAAGTGCAAGTGACTAATACATTCACTTATTCACCAAGCATCTGTGGTATACCTGGCTTTAGGGACACTTGGTATACAAAACAAGTATGTTTACCGGCTCTTCTGAAGTTACAGTAACTGAATATACACACTCCTATAGAATAATCATACCTGCTTGCCCCTATTACTGAAGCAAATGTCCAAATGAGTGACAAATTAGACATTCAAGATGGAATTGGCTTTTGAAACAATTGTCATTATACTAGACAGATTTACCAATAACTTCTGTAGTCCAACTGTGGATGCTTCAAAATAAACGTTGCTTATAATAGCAACTGAACCTTTCAAACATATTATACTAACATGTTACATAGGAAGAGCAAAAAATATTTCTCTTGTAAATTCCTTGAAAGGTTTTTGGAACAAAATTATTTCTTTAGTATTTAATCGAAATGTGATTTATTCGTTGTTAGGGTTTAAAAGCTTATTTCATTTATTGTAAACAAATGAAAACTATACTCTATAAACTGAACATATTTCTTAGAAGAGATAATGGAATCTGTTTTCTTTGGAAGATCTATAAAAGGAATTGCTTGGCCAAGGTCATGGAAGCATTTTCTGCTTAATTTTCTTAGGAATATTTTAGGAGATATGTTAATTTTTCATGTTTTATCTGAAAACACATGTCAAATGTGTTTATATGTTTTTGAAAAATGTAAAACAAAGCTTCAAATGATCCATGATATGAGTCTGTATGATGCATGCTTTGAGATATTTTGAAACATTTGTTCTCATCTCTCATAGACATATAAATATAATAGCACTTAAAATTTACTATCTCGTTCAAAATCTGTGATCTGATTATAAAGTATACACTTATAAAATACTCTATAAGCAATAAGAAAAAAGAAACATAACATTTGGAAAGTTAATGTATAATATTCTGAAAGTTTGTGCCTGTCAATTAGGTTTAAAATATTCCATGTGTTAATTAAAATAATTTTCTATTAAGGAAAATACTTGTGTTAGGGGAAAAAACCCCCAACCAAACCAAATAATATTTCAGAATTAACTGTAGAAATTTACTGGCAGGAGAGAAATCCTGAAGTTTTTACTTTCTCTCTCTTTTCTTCTAATTAGTGCTTTAGAGTACATTGAGCAAGGAAAAGTTTGGCTTTCGTATCAAAGCATTATTTTCAGAGTTAGGCTCAGTGGTTGCTTTCCAGCAGGTACACTAAACTCTCTGGCACGTTTTCTTTGTAGTTTGAGTTATAGGTAATGATTCCTAAGCCAAGTTCCCAGCTTTGGAAAATGTTTATCTAAAATGCCTGGAAACCCAGGAACACATTAGTAATATTTTCCCTGCCTGGGCTGATACCAGCAGACCCAGCGCGGCCAAGCCGGGTTGCGCTCCGCGAACAGCGCCCTTGCTGAAGTTTTCGCCCGGAGAAGGAAACGCTCCGATGCGCGCCCGGCTCCAGGCACTCGCGCGTGCAGAGATCAGTCTTTGGCGTTTTGTTCCCCCGGCTCTCATCTGCTCGTCACTGCGGGGAGGCGGGGTGCGGCGAGGAGGGCGAGGGCGCTCCCAGACCCCTCGCAGGGGTCCTCTCCGGAGGTGGACTCCGGAGGCTCCTTCCGAGTGGACCGTGTCCACTCTCTCCGCATCCTCCCAACCTCACCTCCTCTCCGCGCTGTGTTCCGGAGCTAGCGGGGAGCCGGCGCCCCGGACGCACCAGCGCAAGGTCCAGCCTCCCTCCCCGGCGCCCCTGCGCCTCTCCGGACTTGCGGCAAAGAAGGGGAAACACTCACCCTAGTGATGACCAGAGGCTGGTTGAAGTCTATGCCCCCCGAGAGCCTGAAGCCCCAGGGCGCAGGGCCCGGGAGCACCACGGTCTGGGGCATCCTGCCTTTCTCGGGTGGGGCGCGGCGAGAGGCGGCTTGCGCTCCCCGAGGGTCCCCACTCCGCTCCCCGGCAGCGCCCCGGCGGGAGCGCGCGGGAGCTTTATCCCCGCCGAGGGTGACGTCAGGGCCCGCGCCCCCGCCCTCCCCGAGGCGAGCTCCAACTTTGGAAGCTTAAGCTGGAGCCCAGCGGCGGGAGTGTGCTGCGCGCCGGCGGGGTGCAGTCACCCCGGCGCTCGGGCGGCGCGCGCGGAGGAGGCGGCTTCGGGTTACAGCTTCCAGCACCCTCTTCAAGGCGCACCTGTCCTCCTGTTAATCCTCGGCCTGGAGCTCAGCGGTGCACTTTACTGCACGTTCGAGGCATTTCCATCAAAACCTAAGAGGAGCATCTGGGTGCTTTGGGTTAGCTAGCAGCTTTGAGCGCGTTAATAATTTAGCTTGCTTTGCGTCCTCGGCCAGGTTACCTAACTGCCTGAAGTTTTAGTTGTCTCTTCCGTAAAATAGGGGGAATGACTGTAACAGCCTCTCAAGGTTAAGGCGGGAATTATGTGAGAATTAAATGGGCCACCACTGCGCCGCGCCTGGCACAGCACAAGTGCTCAATAAACATTTAGGATTTCTACGATTAAAAATATATGTGCACACATATCTATTTATCAGTGTCTGTAATGTACATTACATTTATAATTGTATTTGGAATTTACTTTTTGAAACAAAGGGATCTAAGGTACAAATACTCAAACATGTACTCGAACTCACGAACCATCTAAGTGTAGGCATGGCTGAGTAATCAATATACTCAAGAAATAAAGGTCGATGATTTTGAATAGAGTAATTGTTCTCTTCCTTGAATCCAGCATCTGGACATGTTTTTGACACTGGGGGAATGCGGGTAACAGTAACTCAGGAGTTCAGGCTGCCGAGCAGATGTCGCAGCCAGAGTGAGGATGCCAGGAGGAGTGACCAGGGGGATCCCCACACTGGATGCACCTGCAGAGGGAAAGGAAGCAGACGAGGGTTCACTAAACCTTAGCATGAGGATCTTAGTACATCCTTGAGAGTCCCGCGGACTGCTATTGTTAGTTTCACTGTTGTTCATGTGAAGAAATGATGTCTTAGATGCTGAGTAACTTCCATAAGATCATACAGCTAAAGCATAGTAAAATAGAAACTAAAAATCTAGGTCTGCCTGACTCCAGTACATAGGAATAAAGGTCAGGAGAGTCTGGAAGGGTCCTGCGGTAATCTCAGCATGCGATCAAGTATTCCTGGTGTAGTGTCAGGTTCTTCTGATTCCCAAGGAGAAGGGAAAGGATGATGGAAGAGAAATATGAGATGCTTTAAAAACCTGAGAAAGATGATCTTGAATTTCATGCCCAATAGAAGACGACCTTATCACTCCAGGAAAGGAGGTAACAATATATTTTTATTAGAGCCATCTGTTTAGACACAACTTTAAGACTGATAAAGAAAAGAGAAAAGCAATTTAGAAATCTATATGCGAAATGGGCCAGTCAGTAAAATGTGAGTATAAAACCAAAATAGGTATTATTTTGCCTGCCATGGTAGATTATAATGCAAGTCCCAGGGGAAAGGTGTTTATCTAGATACAGACACTTTCCATGCCCAGCGTGTGTTATCAGGGAAATAAGTGTAATGTATATTCTTGTTGATTTTGCTAATTTGGGCTGGCTGTATTAGTGGAGGACACATCCTCTGTCAATCACTGGCTGAATCTGCAACACACAAACGCACACACACACATATCCATTTAGGGAAAAAAAGCCAGAAAAGTTATTTGACATTGTGTAAACACCATAATCCATTGTTTATACCTTACTTCACCTGCTGGTTTATAGAACCAGTTGGTTTTAAGATCCTTTATCTTTTTACTGTTCATTTTGACATCATTTAGATGTAGGCAGCGTGTGTATAACATTAACATAGTACCTACTGAGTTCTTAAGGCTTTGCAATGAGTGTGAAAGGCAAGGAAGTGAAATGTTGGTGTTCCTGCATCTTCTGTTCACTGCTGTCAACAGCAAAGAGTCCAGAGGTGTCAGGATAGAGGTAAGAACAGCCATGAGGGAGTTTCTAAGGAAGGGTTGGCCTGAACCAAGTTACTCCTAGACTTCTTGATTTTGGTTTACTTTTGTTCTTAGAGGCTATTTTGGTAGGATTCTTACTTTTTTTTGTTTTAAAGGAAACAGTGGGAGAGTGTTGTATACAGTGGTAGAGTAAGAGTGAGAATCAACTCTCTTTGGGAAATTAGTCAAGGAAAACTCTGAGAGAAGAGGATGCTGGAGCTGAATCTTGAAGGGTTGGTAAGAGTTTTCTGACTGGCTAGAATCGGGACGGGGAGAACGTTCAAAGCAGAAAACTGTACAGATGTGTATAAGGAGGAAGGAACACATGGCAAATTAAGGAGCAGCAAGTGATTCGATATAGCTGGAAGTTAACATTGGGTAGAGGCAGGAGACAAGGGGGCCATAGCAGAGGGGACTGTGTATGTATGTTATTCCAACAATGGAGTTTATTCTATCAGAAAGTTTTAAAGAGCTTTAAGCCAAAGATACAATGATCAGATTGCACTACAGGAGCTGGGAGGTTGAATTGGGATTGAGGCAGATGGGGAAGCAGGGAATCCAGTTAAAATGTAACAATCCAGGGGAAGAGGTTGAGGGGGCAGTGGGGATTCAAAGAGTAGGCAGAAATGAGAGTTGTTAAGAGGTTCATAGTACAATCTGGCGCAAATCTCACATGGGACATTTAGGACAGTTGGGAGAGCTGGATGGCTCTTAGGCTTCTGTGTTGGATTTTACCAAGATTGTTGAATTTTTAACAAGAAAACAATATAAAAGAAGTACAGCAAGCTATTTTTGTTATAATCAGGGAATGGTGGATTAGAGCACTGTTTTTGTTGGTGGTTTTGAAATGCCCATAAAATAACAGTACTATACAGTGTCCTGGTTGAAAGACGAAGATTTGGAGCCAGACTGTCTGAGTTACAGTATAGCTACACTGTACTTTTTGAGGTATCTTAATGCAAGTTGTTTAACATCTTTGTTAAAAAGGTGATGATAGACACAGAAGACAAATGCCACATGTGTTTGGTCACATGAAGAAACTAAATAGGTCGATCTCATAAAAGTAGGAGAGAGTACTTATTGCCAGCGGTTGGAAATCAGGTGGTTGGGGTAGAGAGACACTGGTGATTTGCTATAATAATAAAGTTACATAGGAGAATAAATCATGTTCTATGACATGGTGGGGTGAGTATAGCTAATAATTATGGTGTATTTCAAAATCACTATTATGAAAGAATTTGAATGTTTCCTACACAAAGAAATAATGTATCTGAAATGGTGGATATATTAATTACCCGGGTTTGATGACTACATATTGTATATCTCAAAATATTAAACTCTATCCCATAAATACATACAGTTATTACATAGCAATTAAAATAACATAAAAATACAGAAAATGGTGATAGAGTATTGCCCTCCTAGAGTTACAGTGTTTATAAGACTTAAAAGTACCAGATATTTAGAGCTGTAGCTGGCTATACCAAATGACTAGAATCACTGCTATTATTATTAGTGTTAGTAATATAGTAAACAATTGGATACATGCAAGTATAGAAACTGGTTTTGAGATGAAGATGCTGAAGTGGTAGTAGAACCTGTGGCTGTGAATGTTAGACATTTGTTAAAAAGTGGTTGAAAATTTATTGACATTTTTCATCTGAAGAGGTGGAGTATGTTTCCCCTCCCCTTGAACTTGTATAGATCTGTAACACTCACATTTCCAGTGGAAATGAGTGACTTCTGAGGGTAGCTCAGCAAAGCCAGCAAAGCTGTGACCTTGATGGTTGTAACGCCTAAAGACCGAAGTCCACGGTGCAGTGGGGAAGCCAGGCTGCGTGGAGATGTCACATACTGTACTACCGTTGGTAACACCAGACCAGGCGCTGTACATGAGTAACAATTGCTCTTTGCAGTCTGCCTTAGAACATTAGGGCTGCTAAGGCAAAATACCATAGACTCGGTGGCTTAAACAAAAGACTTGTTTTTCACACTCTGGAGCTTGAGAGTTCTAAGATCATGGTGCTGGTAGGTCTGGTGTCTGGTGAGGCCCCTCTTCCTGGTTTGCAGATGGCTTCCTTGCTGAATTCTCAAAGAAAGTTCTAATCTCTTTCTCTTCTTATAAGAACACTATTTTTTTTTTTGTAGTGACAACATTCACATTTATTTGAAAAGGGCACCATGAAAACTTATTGGGAAACTGCAATTAATCATCCTCAAGAATGATCTTGCTGAGTCCTTCTTCCCACGTTTCCATTTCCCCACTTCCCTAAAATAAAACTAATTTGATGCAACAAGTTTAAAATACAGGAAAAAAGCCATGGGCACTAAGTGTGCACTCACGTATAAATGTCAGACATTATATACAGATATTGCCGACTACGGACTATGTTACACACATGCACACACACAGGCACATACACACACTCAGCCAGGTCGTGAAGGGCTGGGTGGACACAGACACATTACCACATATGGACTGCAGCATATACGACCTACAACTCTGCACTTCGTATGCTGGAATCGAGTCAAAGAAGGGCTAAAGGGGAAGGTAGTGGGCTCAGGAGGCCCTGAGTCCCCTGGAGGATGAAGACCTGGTCAGCCAAGCTGCTGTCCCAGGAGAGCTCAGAAAGTGCCTCCAGCCACAGAGTTCTTCCTCCTGCCCCCAGGGCTCCCACCACATCTCAGCCAGCCAGGCTCCAGGACAGGGCCCACCATGACCCTCCTTCTGCAGTCTTTTGATCTGGGAGAAACGGCCACAGCAGCCAGATTTCTAGAGCTAATAGGATAAACCTGCCTGCCAGGAGCAGGATCACAGGAAGCAGGTATGGCCCGCCCTGGTAAGAGGAACTCTGTCTGCCTTTAAACACAACACTCAGCCCAACAGCTCAGCTCCAGCCCTTCTCAGCAGGCCCCCTGGGCACAGTTTCTGGTCACAAGAAAAAACTGGGAAAAACCTCATACCTCATACCTTGTACCTCAAGTTGGTTGCAAGGCCTGGGGACACTGGAA